TTTGGGACTCATTGTGAAAATTCTTGATTTTACATTTTATAATTTTTATCTTTATGTTGAAATAAAACGCAAACACTGGATAACAATATGTAAAATTTTATAATTAGTGAAAAATGTAACATATTAAAAATGTTAGACATGGCGAGNATGAATAATTTGTAAACTCCGTTAACGATAGTAACTATATATGTTTTGTTATCATTTATGCTCATTTCCTTCTTCTAATTTTTTCTTTTCGTTAAACATTTTCATCCTTTGTCTTCTCCTACCAATTTTTCTTCTTATAGTTTGTTTATTTCATGTTCTAGTTTTTTGGTTTTTTTCTTCGANTTTTTTCTCGTCTATGTGCTGTTTTCTGTTTTTATTCATTCTTCTTCTTGTTCTTCTACGTTTGTTACTTGGTATGTTACCTAGTTGGATGAATGAAACTGATTGAAATTAATTTTTCTCTCTCATTTTCTCTAAAAAATTCACCATTTAAGAAAAAATTGTTTCCTTTAAAATTAATTGAGTCTCATCAAATTAGAGAAAACTAAGCATATATAGTTTCATATGTATATAAGATTGCACCTCTTTTTAGTGTTGAAGTCCTTTGATATATTCAGTAGCAATATCCAACATGTTTGTTTAGTTTGTTTGCTGCAAAAAAAAAATGTTTCTTTTAGCAAAATAATCCCTATAATTACATCATAATTACATACGAAACAATAATCAATACAACTCACTTTATCTGTAGTGGTCACTATTTTTTTGTAGCATCATGTTGATAAGATTATAATTTATCACGCATAATATATCTCTGTAGTCCCAACATAAGCGTGGTTTCCTTAAAAAAAACTATATAGCATAAGTTTTTTTTTGGGTTAAAGATATAGCATAATATTACAAAATTGTAATTGCTTTAGAATAATTGCTTCAAATAAAACAATTTGTCGCAAGAGATACAAAGCTATTTCATNAACCACTCTTGATCAATCTCATCANTTGTCATACCAAAGCAACCATCTTAGTGGGTGCATCCAATACATATCACAATGCATTTCTCGGGTAAGAAGGCATC